GACATGCATGTATTTTTGTATCGCGTGCATATAGATGTCGTGCGTTTATTCGTCGGTAGACACAGCTGCACGACTCGCTGCAGAGTCCGAGGAGAGTTTTCTGAGCAGGCAAGCCACACTCGCATGCTCTTGTCGAAAGATCCTTAACCTTTTTCATTTTCATAACTTTCAAGAGAAACTATTTTTTTTTTTTCGTTAGCTGTGAATAATGAAGCAGGCGTATAGAGGTACTTTAGCTGAACAGGTAGAAAGATCTATGCTTTTTATATAAGTATCCCTATCTAGGCCTCCAAGTCTAAAGTACTTTAATAGTAGTAAGAGTGCACAAAAGATAAATATAAATGTAACTGAGAAATCATCAACTCTCTATACGTTAGTTATTGCTGATGCCTTAACCGGATAAACCATTGTAACTATCATACGCACCATCATCCAAGCAGAAAGGCCTTAGAAAGGGCTCTATGAATTTGTAGGTATGATCGCTGCGCAAGCCTAATCTGATAAGAGCAATTGACAACTGCGGGCCTTGTAACATGAAAAAAGTACCTTAAATTTTTTAAAATGAAGAATAGAAGGTGCACGGGAATAAACATTTCTCTAAATCTACTAGCCAATATTATTCTACATTACGGAGTAGAGCGCATCGATAAAAGCCAAGTCATTCGACGTTATCTCAACAGTTTACTACAGAACCTGTTAATTCCAAAATTAATTACCCCTTCGACAGCGGTGGTGATCAGGATGGGGAAACAATGTAGACGATGAAGTGCTAATACATCGCAATTGGCCCCTCGTGTGGTTTGTCTGTTTGATCGATTCTAGTGTCGTGCATAATTTTTCCTTTTTTCATATGCTTCCACACATAATATACCTTATTGGCCCACAAATAGGACCTAGCGATACAGATGATAAAACAACTTTTTATACAACATCTGTTGACGAAGCATCTACTAAGAACACGTATGTGTAAATGGGCTTAGGTCGTGGATCCCAGACCCTTCCCCAGTCCATGCCTGCACGCAACGTTCGACTTACATTACTCTAATGGTCGATTTCATTGACCCATGCTATCACCCATTAGAAACTATTATATAGAAACCATATAAGAAACCATTCCCATCGTACGACCAAACAGTTACTCTTAAATGAACACAAAAACTACAGGATAAGCCCATGTCACACAACGATGTTCTTAAAATAACAGTACTCTTACCTCTATCTCATACAGAATGTTTCGAAATCAGTGCACTTCTCTTGCCTTGGCAGATAACTTCGAAAATAACTTCAACTGCGTGCATAGTTATGGAGCGGACGAACTGTAATTACGAACTAATGCTATTTCACTCAACGGGACGAAGTTACTTCACAAACGTAGCACTGGCATACGTTTACCCGCTTAGCTGATTAATTATCAACAATATCATGCTAATTAGATAACTTGAGTTCCTAGAATATCAAAATTGCAGTTAAAGGGCTTACAAGCCATTTCATAGGGTAATTATTACTCCGACAGACCTTAAGCCATGTGCCGTTCAGCATGTTTAAGACCCTTGACAAAATCACTCCATCAGTGTTAACCATTGTTAGGGCAATGTTTGTACCAGAGTATTGTATCACCCTTTGTGCACCTCTGTGCATTTAATATGAGTGAGATAATAGTAATTATGGTAATACGATTTGTTGAGAAACATCTCCAGAGACATTTGTTTGTACTTTTTCTTCCAGCGAGGAGAATTTCACAGGACACTGCAACTCGCTTAAGGTATCCTGTTCGTAGAAGATAAATTAACATATAGAAAATAGAAGAAAGGCGACACAGATGTTGCTATTATATTGCGCGTAAGACAATGTGAGGTTGTTTCTTTTGGAGAGGATTATGCCTTCACTGCTTGAAGATCCGTGTCATTGTATCAGCTAACTAAACATTGATATACCAAGCAAATACCGAATTGTCTCATAAGAATCAACGTCATAGCAATCCTTATCCAGTAACCATATCGAGGCAATTGTTTGGAAGCCCTAAGACAGCGTTGCTATATACAGTATAATGGGAACCGATAATAAAAAGAATCGACAAGTGTCTATTGTTAATTTACACGCTTGAACGTGTTTCGTGTGTGGTACTGTCGTTAAATATTGCTTCAGACTATATAAGCGAACCTAATTGCGAAAGGGTGATCGTGACAAAATGTTGCCATTGTATCCGTGATATGCATTTCGCCTGTTGTGATGCATAATACATTATCGTAGAGTTCAAGGTCTGACGCTTTGGTTCCGCGGCGCCAAAAGTTGAATCCATGTCCTTGTGGCGCGTCAGCGTTGCGAGGGGCCAAGTATTATCTTACGATACTGTTACTATTGCCTAAAAAGGCCGCTAAACCTCGCGAGCTTCAACCGCAGTCAGGTAAATCGTTCGAAGATTTTGTACATTTACTATGTTATTAAGCCCCTATTAGCGATAGGCCTCTAAAATGTGGGCATCGGATTTATAGATCGACTATTTACCTATGTAGCTTGAAATGCAGTAATATCAGAGCTATCTCTATGATACGCAACTATATAGCGAATACGACCTCGTTATAGATGGCACACGAAAAGTCTACAATAGGTTCAATCATTCAGAACACAATCGAAAATGTGCCATGATAACGTCCTGATGTAATTGATATAGATTATGGCATGACTAATCTCATCGGCATAATATTTCGTCGGCTTTGTCAACACCCATAGTTAAAGCGTAGTTGATATAAAAAAAAAGAAATAATAAATAACAAAGTTAATAAAGTACATTTTGTGCGGGATATTTCTGATCATTTTAACTCCTTTGGATGACCGTGTTTACATGACGACCTGTTCTTTGACTACTGCGCGTATTAAAGGCTGAACATTTTCCCTACAGTACATTCTCGTTGACGGCTATGATTAAATTGAAGAAGTCTATTTCGCTGTGGCCTGTATGACGACTATACTTGGAAGAACTTCCAGCTTATGTTACTTACCTTTACCATACTGAATGCGCTTTAATACTGGCGTATCCAGTGTGAGAATAGTTTCCGATAGCCTTCCGGAGTATATGTACATATGATATTGAAGGTAGCTTGTTCTGCTAAATATCATGATTTAACTAGCACCTCAATGTTTGTGACAACTTTTTCTGTGGTATTTTCTGACACACATCATAAAAGCCTGATTCATATTCGCTTCTAATCATCTATACTGTTATCTCTACGCGCGTATCGGCTACCTGACGCTAACTACGATATAAAGACGACAACAAGAACATCACTGTACAATAGACTTGTTACTGCTTGCTTCTGTTTTTCGTCAGAAAGAGTCGGCAAAGTATAGGAAGAACTTTTTGATGGCTTAAACATCAAATAGATAGAGTACAGGACAGACAGCCATCGTAATCGTTTGCTGATGTACGACTGAAGCAACTTGCGAAGCAAGAGCAGGACGAGCCTTCAAATCGTTGTCTGTATTTATACATGCGAAACACGGTCATCGGATAATAAGTTGGTGCCAGTGCAGAAACATAGTAAAACATGACGCTCAAAAACATAAAAACAGTGTCTGGAACTAAGAACGTACGCAAATTATCTGCATGCCGGGTTCGTTATAATCTGGGGATACATCACATCTATCCTGACGTTAATGAAATTGTTACGAATGTATTTGGTGCTGAACTTTGCTTTACGCAAAAAAGAGGTATAATTCGAAAGCCTTCTATAGTGGCCCAAACCGATTCCATTTGCTAAATACGATCCGCAGCGTACCTATAGCTGAAGCACACTCATTAGCAATTAAATAGCTCTTTTGAAAATTTTGATACCCATATAAAACGGATATCGATATACAACTCCGTTGTGTCCGGCAGTATATTTTATTAGCCTTTACAGAGAATTTCCGGACCAGTAATAGCAGTCCTTTTCGATTAAGTCAAAGGCAAAATCTAAGGAGTATACGCACCTAACGAGCAGGTAGTACATACAACAGCGTCACGAAAATTCTAAGCTAGCCTAATTTGCCAGAAGAAATAGAAGCACCTTATTTCAGTAACCTAATCGTTCTCCTGCTGAATTCGTTAACAGCTATGATCCAGCACGAAAGATCACTATCCACGTAACGAAGTAAGTTTTCCAGTGTCGGCTTTTCCACTAGTGACCTTCAATCCGATTTGATAGTTGTTTTTGAATCGAAAACCGCTCTCTGCCCCCTAACAAATCCGCTTGTCTGCCAATTTTAAATTTGACCACAAGGGTCTCGATCGGCTAGCTCGTAAACTAATTGTACTAAGCGGATACGATACAGAATGACAAAGCATCTGCAGCGATGGCACTGAGAAAATCAATACTCCCCGGTTATCAATGAACTCGTCTTTGCTACGACTGACCACAATTGACTTCACCTACTTTTTTTCGGTCACTTTCGCAATCCGTTTCGTTCATGAATAACGGTACCGCTATCTGGTACGACTGCACGATAAGAGCTGTGATAATAGCTAGTACTAACGCGATACATTGAGGACCTCCTTTGAAGCAGCACCAGCCATTGGGGAATAACATCTCATTCAAAATAAAACGAAGCACTGCATTAAAGACACAAGATTGAATTAATAGTTGCACAGTTTCCACTAGCAACACGGTGATTCAATTTTTCTTAAAAAATATCAAGTAAAATTTTCAATTAAAGACCGGACGGAACTATGGCAACCCCTCTGCTTATTCGACTGTGAGACTCTCGCAAACATGTTTTGAATTTCAACATCTTTCTTAGTGTTTTAGCCATCCAGAAAATAGCATTACTATACCTGGAGCCACAGCATCCACAATTTACTGGTGCACATTTACATTAACAAACACCTACAGCATAATAGTTACTTCAAGCAAAAAGAACACGTTGATATTTCAGAAAACGCTGAGAGGGTACATGTACTCCAGCAAATAGTATTATTCTATATAACTGACTTATTATCTCTAGAGGCTGGAACAGACATATACCTCTGATGGTTCGTAGTGAAAGCTTTCCTGCCCGCCGTGGAAAAGGAAAAACGGTAGCCAGGCTCTGATAGCCTTACACCGATTTTCATATATAGCTATACTGCATTTAAATGGTGATTGATTAACTCGAGGAGACCACTATGGTATAAAACCAATGCTACTGAATCTTCACCATGAAAAGTAGTTTTCTTCTACACTTTGAAACCTCTGCTCGTAGATTGCTGTTCCGTAGTTACTGTATCCAGAGATTCACAAATGAATATAAGCTGGAAAACACAATCATACACTAGGACACCCGTCTACAAATGACTGCAGGACGACCGAAAAAAGCACTAACATCTCACAGAGACACTCACTGCAATGATAACATCGAAAAACCACTACTTCTCATAGTGGAACAAGCGACTTTTAACTCCAAGTTTTCGCTAGATTACACATCTATTCCACAATGCAGAGAAAGGGTTATTTTCGCGTTTTGCTTGCAATGTGCTACTCACTCGGTTCATTAACAACACCATCATCACCGTTCTCCATAAACTACTGCCGTTTAAACTAGCGGCCGTCTTCGAGCCCTTCACGGGGCTGTGCTTGCCACAATGAATATTGGAAATGCCGCTGGTATCCGTTCGCCTGTCGGCTGTCCTATGTTTCGGCAGCTTTTGCCCCACAGTGATGCTCCTGACCGCACAGAGAGCTGTGAGCTCGACGGAGCACGGTTCTGTTATATCTGGAGTTAGGCGCCATCTTGATTCGGCGCTCGTCCTTTCGGCAATTTGTTCAAAAACTACAGTATAGGTTAAATAGATGGTCGGTGAGAAACTACCAGAAAAAAACCTTGCAATCTCATTGTTTTTTCGTGTTTTGATACAGCATGGATTATAAAATTTTATTAAAACATTACTGCGAGCTAAAGCGCAGCATAGAAGTAACGCTGAGACGGAACCCAATGAAAATAAAGTGCCCAAACATCGCTGTCGATTACTAGTACCAACAGCATTATCTACGTAATTTTACTATAGCAAAAATCTAATAATGTGCCAATTGATTGGTCTTAGGTGGGTTATCGGTAGTGGTTCGTTTGGCATACGAACCTCATTTGTTCATTGTTGTTCTCATTTGTTTATTATTTTTGATAACTGATCAACGACAATCCGAGTACAAACAAAATATGATAATATATCTTTTATATATCACAGCAATGGGGCAATCGCTTGCTCGTCGCATGTTAAGAAATGATCTTTACTTTCGTTTTGTACAATCTACTTTGCTTCCAAGATGACTTAATCGGCAAAGTCCTGAACAGTACCCTCGTTCACATCTGTCGATCTAGTGCGAGCTTATTCAGTGTTCAACGAAGCTTCTATGAGCATAACTTCGCTCCTGCACATATGGGTGAGGGACGGCCTGCTTCAAGCCTTTTTGTGTGTCTAGCCGGCATCCTTACGTCGACAAAGCACCAAGCAGAGGTTGTTATTCGTATTAAATGTGGGTCGCGCGTGTTCTCTGTATCCTCGCTAGCGTATTCCGACGTGTAATCGTCGTTGTTGCTGCGGTGACAGTTCCAAGTTTGTTGTGAAGCTTGGAGTGACTTATATCGTGAGGTCTTACACTTGCGCTAACCTTACACTGTTATTTTGGAGATGGGTGACCAAGTGAAGGAAGGCGGTACGGCTTCAAAGAAAGCTCTGAAAAAGGCTCAAAAGGAAGCTGAAAAAGCTGCCAGAAAAGCAGCTCATAAGGCCGCGGGAAAAGAAAATGGGTCAGATTTGGTAAGTACATTTACCACATGCTGGTCCATGTTCTCCATGTAGTAATTCCACATGCCGTTCCATTCTACTGCGTATCGCAATAAGAAAAACGACTAGTGATAAAAAAATTATCTACTTATTTATTTAATTCGATTATCGTGTTACCACGTTATCTACACTTGTTAATTGTTAATAAAATATCAATATATTATACAGCATTATTGTATTAATTAAACAGTACGATTCGATATGGGCTTCGAAGGCTTGGGTTTCAAACAATCACTACGACTCAATGTAATGACAGTAGATCTTTGGGCATCGCAAGTGACCGAAGCTGAATAGTATCTGCCCGGTTACAGTTAAAAATTGCAAGTAGTTAGTGAATTGAAAACCTAGTGTCGTTGATTGTTTCTTTCTCAACGATTCCGTATCGGATTTTAGAAGGCTGCTTAGTATATTAACTTCGGAATTTAAAAGTAAATTAGATCTAGTTATAACAAAAGTACGAGACCAAATATTTGTCGCCGCCCAACGCTTGTCACTATGATTGAGCACGACAGCACAGTATGGGGCAATTTTTGGCCGGTGCAGTGCAGCTGCAGGCCCTTCCGATAGCTGTTTGCTGTCTTTAATACCTATATATATTTAGCGAAGATTGTATAAATGTTATTCGTCGAACTACTTCTTTGTTTTTTGTTTATGTAACTTATTACGTTTCGTATTTTTGTGCTCCGATACAGTAAAATACAAAGAGATTTCAGTGCTAAGGAAAATTAACTCGGCATTATTCTTTTGAGGTCAAGTGGTTTACGCTCGGTACGAAACGCGCGCTTTCAAAAGACTTGACACTGCTGATTCTTAAACCTCTGTTCGTTTTGCATTGAATCTCAATCGTGAGGTCATCTAGGCCCACGATACAATGGGTCTTACACAACAAAATGTTCACTCGGATATCAAATGCTAGTCTGTGATTATTTAGACTTTTCTTCAACGAACCTCTAAAACAGCTTGTTAAGCGTGCGCCATGGTAACTATGTGCAACTGCTAAAACTTGAACCAGCGACGTTTTCCTCAAGAACGACAAAGTGTATATTTTAACGGCTTGTTGGCCAAAATATACTCGTATTCTGTGTCCTACAAACATTTATACATTTGGCTTCACCGTCTGTTAATTTAGCCATCAAGGCTATATGCGAATGAATGTCAACATTTATAATAAAGACAATCTCTTCTGACAGCCCGAAATTATTTTTTTTTGAGAGCTCGTAAAATTAACAAGCATGTACAGTGGAAATCTTTACTTTGAAATGTTGCCCGGATTTATCAAAACACAGACTTCTAAATTAGACCTTATGACGTTATTACGTCTGTAAAATTATAGGTATCAGACATCGTAAAACAATAATATACTTCGAAGCAAAACAATGATATGTCAGTGATCACTTACTTACACTCCTTACATGATGATGAAACATGATTTAGGCGTTTAGCATTTTCTCCTAACATTTAGCATATCTTTAATTATTACCTCTTATTATATAACCCGAGTATTCTGAAATGGGACTATTTTTAATTTCGATAACATGCGATAGCCTATACTCCGTGCCTATTCATTTTTTCGCTTTTTCTTTACTGGCAAAAACGGCAACCATTTTACAGAATAAACAGACTGGCGCTGCCGGCGACGAGGTGGATGGGTCGCAAGGTCTCTATGGACAATACCCCATGATCCAATCGACGGAAAAGCTTCAACGGGAAATGATCGAAATCTCCCAATGCACTTTAGAACGTGCCGATCAAATGGTACGTTTGTTCGCTGATTTTTTGTACACACTGAATTTTTGTATTTCATCGAAGGCATATAAATCCCTTTTTTTATGCTTTAAATATGAAAACGTATCAAATGAACTGGCAAAATTTTACTAGCTAATGGTGAAATTCGTTTGGATACATTCTTACAACCGTTTTGAATAGTTGGGATTAACGATTTGCGGACTTATCCTTCAATTTGCTAAGTGACTTTCCTCGTTCGTGATAAATGATTCGCATTATGTTACATTTTATCTTTTGACTTCCAGGTCTGGCTGCGTGGTCGTCTACATACATCTCGTGCAAAGAGTAAACAGTGCTTCTTCGTTCTCCGACAACAACATTATACATTGCAATGTTTGTTAGATGTCAGCGAGGGAACTTCGAAACAGATGCTGAAATTTATTTCGGCCGTTCCGAAAGAAACCATTGTAGACGTCGAGGGAAAGGTACCTTAGACGACTGCTAGTTTGCTAGGCAGCATTGCAAACATGTTTTAGTATACCTTCATCACTCGTGTCGGTTTCACGTATAACATCATATTTAATAAGGGATCGAGCTGTCATAGCTCTTTAGTTGGAATATGTTTCCTGTTTTTCTTGACCAGTAATTAGTTTGTGGCTGATAAAGCAGGCTGAATGAGATTTCAATAAACATACATTTAATAACATATTGTCAAACGCCTGTAACTATCCATAAGTAAACATACACCGTTTCGTCAGCGTTAATTTTTTAAATATAGTAGCATCGTTCTGTCGAACCTACAATAAACGTCATAAACGAATTAGACTATTACAAGTTCTGTTCTCCTATTTTGAGAGCAAAGATAAAAATCGTTCCCAGTATTGTAAAGCGGCGAAATAAAAATCGAGCAGTGACAAATGTGATATAAATGCATTAAAGCCGGTAGCGAAAAAAAAATGCGTAATATTTGCCGAACTGGTTTTTCTTCCCCCAGCTCGTCAAATCACCATTGAAAATCGAATCCTGTTCCCAGCAGGAGGTCGAATTGCGGATATACCAGTTCTGGATTGTGTCGCTTAGTGATACTCGCCTACCGCTTCAAGTAGAAGACGCCTCTCGTCCTGAACCCGCGGAAGGCGACGAAGAAGCACTGAAAATTCGTGTCAATCAGGACACGCGGTTAGTATCTCGCCCACGTAATTATGATCCTCCATAGATGGCTTGCTTTAATGTCGTTTTGTATTATGCGTATTTTAGTGACAGTTAAGAGATATTCCTAAGGCTACTTCAAATATTCTATATGTATTTGACAGTAATTTCATTCACACAAGTTCAATAAGTCTATTTCGTGAACCATTTACAGCTTGGATCACCGTGTCCTTGACCTTCGCACCCCAGCAAACCAAGCAATCTTCCGACTTCAAGCAGGGGTCTGCCATTTGTTCCGAGAGTCTCTAAATCGACGCCATTTCATCGAGATTCATACACCCAAAATTATCTCGGCAGCCTCCGAAGGTGGCGCTAATGTATTTGAGGTTACCTATTTTAAAGGTAAAGCGTATCTTGCCCAAAGCCCGCAGCTCTACAAGCAAATGGCCATTGCCGCAGATTTCGATAGGGTTTGTAGATTTTGTTATTTATCCTGGCTTTAATTGTTTAGGAAAACTTTATCTGAAAATTCATATGTCCGGTGAATTATGTGTATACGCTGTGCAATTTTAACGTGTCCAATATAAATAAATAAACTATATATTTTGCATAACATTTGAATTTCATGCTACTTGACGCAAAATCTATCCTTAGGGTTGTTGATTTTTTGATGTGATGGCTTAAAATCTGTTACTGCAACGATTAAACTAATAATTAGCTACGATTATGATGTTTCTACCGACCCACCTTCTTGAGAGCTTAAGCTTCTTGATGAGTATGTAAGAAACAGATAAAAAGTTGCAATAATGACAATTCATACTGTTTTACGAGTAAAGCATGGTACGTTTCATTTACCATAAACATTTTATCTTCTTGTTTGTCATTTTCTTCTATACATTCTGTAGGTGTACACGATTGGCGCAGTATTCCGTGCAGAAGATTCGAATACGCACCGTCACTTAACGGAATTCGTCGGCCTCGACCTTGAAATGGCGTTTAAGTATCACTATCACGAAGTACTGGACACTATAGCCGAGATGTTTGTCGATATATTTAAGGGCCTGCGCGATCGATACCAGCCCGAGATTGATACAATCAATAAACAATACCCCTCTGAACCATTTAAGTTCCTTGAGCCGTCATTGCGGCTGGAGTATTCCGAGGGGGTGGCAATGCTGCGAGCGGCCGGTGTTGAAATGGCTGACGATGAAGACTTAAGTACTCCGAACGAGAAACTACTTGGACGACTAGTCAAGGCGAAGTACGATACCGACTTTTACGTGTTGGATAAATATCCTCTGGCTGTTAGGCCATTCTACACAATGCCTGACCCAAACAATCAGATGTTGTCGAACTCTTATGACATCTTCATGCGAGGCGAGGAGATTATGTCGGGTGCTCAGAGGATACACGACCCTGAATATCTAACCCAGCGCGCTAAGGCACACGGTATTGATATATCAACAATTCAGGCTTATATTGATTCGTTCAGGTGAGTATTGATAGGCCGAATTATAAAATCGAAACCATATTTTGCGACTGTATGGCTGACATATGCGCTCATGAACTAGCTGCGAGGCAAAGAGATCGAGGATATTCTTTTTTACTTATTTAAACATTTTCCAGCACATATGTTGGCGAAAATGAGGAAATACCGCAGGCGTCTAATGACAGCATCGAACATGTAATCTTTTGTGACACGAGGTCGTGCAACATGATGACCAAATTGTAAATGTTAAGATAACTAACCAATGTATGTCGATTTTTCAAGTCAATATGCATCTGTTCCTTATGCGTTCATACATGTCTGTCCATCTAATCGTATACATACGCACGCCTATGCACGCCTCGAGTAAACGCTACGAAGTTTCTTTCACAGGTATGGAGCTCCCCCACACGCAGGTGGTGGCATCGGCCTTGAGCGTGTCGTCATGCTTTACTTTGGGCTAAACAATATTCGGAAGACCTCAATGTACCCCAGGGACCCGAAAAGGCTTACCCCTTAGGCACGGTCCCGTTAAAATTGTGTCTTCTACCGTAATTGAAAAAATGACTTCAATAAAAGAATTAAAATAATTTTTCATTGTTGGATCCTGCTGAAGATGTGTTGTCACTGTCATTATTTGCTCGTACTATTGGTGACATTTTTTTTTTAATTTTAACATTTTAATAAAATGTCGTGTTTGCCAAGCAACAGATAACCTAATTTTGGCAGAAAGGGTCTATGCATAGACCCTGTAATTGAATTACGTTAAATGTTTGCATTCATTTTCGGTGATAAATTTATACGTAAATGGCTGTATCGATATATAATACGAGCCATAAGTAATTCTCAACGAGATTTAGCCGTAGTTTTCTACAGAATGATTTTCAAATAGAAGTTAGTACCGCGTCTGTCAATTGCAGGACCTTAATTAGGCATTAATTGCTTGCAAGTTTCCGCAATAAATCTATTCCGTACTCCCAAAAATGTTAATTACGAGGCAACGTTCCCCGTAAAACCCTTTATTTGGCGAAATATCATGGGTATCGTAAAGAATGCGCTTTAAAAGCCTAGAAATGAATTGACTGAACGACCATTGTATTGTCCAACAAGCGATTTCTCCATTTATATTCATGTCTTCGCGGTAATGTAAACTTAACAGCGAAAAAAAATGGGCCGAATGTTTCTCAAAGTACCAACCTACTCCTCGTATCGTGTCGCACTAAATCTTCGAATCCGTGTACTTCCGAAACTTCGGCAAACTCAACAAGATGCATTCTCGTTCTATTCATTAAGACCAAATGACAACGAATTGAGCTTTGCCTAGAAACGTCCGCTGAACCCACAGCTTCCACGGGAAAAACTTCTGAATAAATTTATATGTGCATTTTGTCCTTAGAACGAATGCGATGTGCGTCTTTCTGATACTATCGTTTAGGACTACTAGTTCAAAAAAAAAGAACGTGTTATCCTATGTAACGATAACAGTTTCAGTTCAACCAACTACGAGGAACAATATCAGTTACTAAAGTAGATAAACAAAAAGCACATTCGATTTTATTTCACATCGTATATAACAGGTTTCCAAATCGCCAACAATTGTCGTAGTCGCTGCATGGTAGTAGCAGCATATTTTACTCAGCCTTAGTAGCAATTTAACCAGTTTCAACAGTCTCTGAGAGCTTACTAAATAGTTATAGCAGCATTGCCATTTCGTTTATGGCTAATGATCGGTTTAGGTGTTACAACTAGCGAAATCGAGGCCGTCTTCCCTTTTTTAAGCATGGATAGGTTATTGCGTAATTTTTATTTGCATTGAAAAAGACACTTACGGTCAGTAGCTCATTAATGAAAACAGTTTTCGAAACGCAGCCTTCCGCAGCATAACGCGTACTTGCCAAAATTATAGAACGATTAATCGGCATTAGAACCGGCTACTGCGTAAGTTCAATGTTGCCACGCGTAACAATATTTAGAGCACATGAAAAGCTTCTCAGCAACAGAATCACTTTAGAACTAGAAGTAAACAATCAGTTATCTCACTGAACGAGCAAATTAACGAATGTACATTTCGGAATCGGCGTGCTCAGGCTTGCGCCATGGACCAGAGCACTCGAAAGATAGTCTCAGCTTTTCCTCTTTATGTTCATCTTTACGATTACGTTAGACTGTCGACGTAAAATCGAATCCGTCTTTTTTTTTTCGTTATTCTCGACGTACAGTGGCTCGCCGTGCACTTCGTAGAAATCATCATAGTATAGCTGGTTATTTGGATTGATATTTTATTTTTCTAATCGCCTGATGTAAAATAATATTTTAGGTTTAACAATGCGTTCCTAATATGTTTCTATAACATGAAATAGATGAAAATAGCTGTGAAAGGTTTCAAAGCGGGCTTATTATGGGTAAAATTCCGATATACCGTATGTATATAATAAATATGCGAGGAGTTTTAAAGAGCCAAAGCTCTGCTTATTAGATCGTTCTAGAGGAGTCAACAGTTTTGGACTTCAGAGATTTGTGAGTGACTCTGAACGTTTCGAGTTCTGCCAGTGCCGTTCAGATGGTTTCAGGTGGCTTGCCCTCAGCACGAAACGAAGTTTGTCTAAGTCCACCTTGGAGCCCAGACTTCTTCACACGTCTCTAAATTCAATAGGAAAGCGCGTTTCCACTGCACCCTACCGGACGCGCGCGCGAGTCTGACGCGATTTTAGAAGGATTATAGCGCGCTCATATTTGAGACCTTGCAATGTTATGTGAAATAACCCTCTTTATTCAGCTAACCTGCGCTCATGATATTATTAGGTTCATACATAAATACTGCATATAAATGGGTTGTCAGAAATCTTGTTCGTCGGTCATAAAAGAGTAGTAATTAGTTAGTTAGTGCAAGACCTAGGACACAAGATCGTAAAGGCAAAAGAACATTACGTTCATTCTCTTGCAGGACGGCTTTAACAATTCTTACCATGCATGGTCTGGCATTGCTTCAGACAATGATGACTACGCCTTATTTTGTCAAGTCTTTCCTGTTAGGTGGCCTGTTTCACTTGACGCCCACTTGTTTGCCATGTGCTTCTTCTCAGCTTGCAGTTCCACCGAACGCGGCTTATAGTCTGTTTTGACTTCACCCTCAATTTTGGCCTATTTACCGCTAGTACTCATCTTATTCTCTGCGTTGCATCGACGTAAAAATACCACTTCTCACTGGTGACGATTCTGTGTAGAAACCTGTTGTTGTGGCTACGCGGTAGCCACTGCCGATTGAGATACTGAGAGTCAGTGAAACGCCGTGTGTTTCTTTGGGTATTCGCCCAAGCTTTTAATGACTGTCCAAATTGTATACTTGCAAGGCACGTTACTATAATCGAGTGTTGATAGCATATCCTGTAAGGAAATTTACGGGTCCTTTACCCTTATCGATTCATTGTCCTCGTTGACTTCAAACAGCCGATCCGGATGGGATACATCATTCGAGGTAAGATTCCATCCTTAAACTTAGCAAACCCCTTTGAGTAGTCATCTCAGTCATACGGTTTTCGCTGTATGCGGCGAAAATGTCGTAGTAGCTTTTTGACCATAACAAGAGACTAAATGGAGTAGCAGTAGAATGTTTTTCCCACAAATACCTATTTTTGAGGCCTGAACTTGGGATAACATTCCGTTTTCTGTGCAACTGAGCCGAGCGCTTTCAACTACTTTGGGTAGTAATACACAGAGAGCAGTTGCAGAATAAGGACAGCGAATACAGGAAGCAAGGTTTTTTTTACCTAGCAGTAGGCAGCAAATACATAGCCGTAACGAACCCAATGTGTGGTATTCGAATTTATGAAAATTGACTTGCAAATAAACTTGTTGCCATTCTTAACATCAATTACCGACGTGTGTGTGTACTAAAAAAGTAGATGCTTAGCCTTTTAGGCACCTCATCGATGACTGATGTGTGCGCTCGTAACAATTTTTATAAGATAGCAAATGAGAGATTGTTTATGTCTACGAATGTGTTTCCTTTTTATTTCTGGAACCTAGACGCGGTATTGCTGTTGCTAGACGCTGCTAAGAATTGTGTCAAAGGCTTAAACGTTAGCACCAACCTGATATACCCATTTTGACAGTCAGATCATCTCCCATGTTCTTGCATGCATCATCGAAGGGCGTTATGGATGTCCGAATGAGAAAAGACAGTTAATTTCAAGCGTTCGGAAAGGGAATCGAAAAGAAGTCTTACGAAGCAATCACTCCTTCGTAAACCTCTTTAACTCTGTTAGAGATTATGTGAACAGCTTTAAATGGCGTCTGGAACTTAATAAAAGGCTGTGCTCAAAGATGATCGGCATAGCAGAATGGTGACTGGATAGGCATAATTGGTGATTATCCATTGTGTCTTACAACTGCCGATCGTCGACGACGAACATCCGAGTCAACAATTACAATTGTTCGATTGTAGATTTTCGAAAAACTGTGATGACCTAGTTGATCTGCCCTTGCAACGAGTGCCGCAGGCAGACAGGCAGGCCGAAATACAGTATGCTCATTAATAGTCGTAATGAGAATTGACGAAACGTTAGATATGTGACGGTCGCTAACGTTGTTTAGTGTGAAGGCGTAGGTTGAGTATCGAGTCGCATCGTACACAGTTCTATTAGTAGGACTTTTGCATCTATGGGTGCATATACATTATAGAAAATGCTCGACCTTGCAATCTATGACGATTTAATTTGGCCGAGAGTATTTTTAATCATTAACTGCGGCTTCGATTCAATGATCCTCCAAACGCGATCCGACTCAACGATTAGGGGCCATTGTTTTTCGCTTTATTCCGCATTTCGCAAATAGGCTACAAGAAGCAGGTCCTAGAAATTTCCAATAGCCAAAGGATACCAAACTCAAAGATCGACCTAACCTTATCCCTAAAGGATACTCTGGTGGCAGCATGGAACACCTGACTGGCATCATCCATGGCCAATACTTACAGTAAAAACAAGGATATATTCCCGACACTTTGTGGCGATACTTCCTTCCTTGGCACGCTGTAACATGCGGAGTCTATGATAGTACCTCTTAGTAAAGCGCCCAAGGAATCACTGCAATAAATTTATAAGTATAAGAAACGGTACGTACGGCGCTGACAGCCCACCCGTGAAAGAACTCTAGAGATAATTAAATAACTTCTAAGAGCGCCCTTTACAGAAGCGTTTCTGTGACATATATAAAGTACCGCTTTCAGCACATCCTGATTGCATGTTTGTTAATTCCTGTTTTCCTTTTTTTTTTTTTTTCTATATCTGACAGTTGTTTGAAAGGTTACATTTGACCATTGAAAACGCAAGGTGGCCGTCGTTGCTGGGTTCACCTAACAAACCAAACTAAAAATTTCCGATTTGTGTATCGGATACCTTCGATGGTCCAGACTCGCCAACTAAGCAATGCTTTAGGCTTGCTTGCACTATGTAAATGTTGCTTGAGCCGAGTACTATACATTTCTCAACACCATGACATTATGAGCAAAAATTCTCCCCATCCCTCCGAACCTCGCCTGCAACTCTTGAGATGACAATATCCAAATTCATACTGAATACTCCGAATTGCAGCGTTCGATACACAATAACGTACA